TTTCCCAATAATTTCACACACAATTAAAAAATAAAAATTATTATTATATTCGCCTTTTCGTCTCACATTATTTTCAAACGAGGCAATTTATTTATTTATTAAAAAAAAAAATCTTAAGTTTTGTGATTTTTATTAGGATTAATATATATTGTTCTCTTTATAGATTGTTTCACAACATAGCGCGAGAAACTTTGTACCCTCAAAGAAAGCAAAGATCACTAAATGGGAGATGTACAAAGAAAGCGTGCCAAGCCCACACGACTTAGAGATAAAGAGCAAATCACCAAAGGAATTGTACCAACTTACTAGAGATACCTCAGATTATGCATGGTACAGTACAAGGTATGCATGCAAAGTTTTTTGGTCTATCATATTGTTTAAGACGGTAGGTTTTCTATTAGGCCAGTTTAATCGTTAGACGTATATACTATTTTCGCAAAGGCGAATATATATATTTACCCGTTGGTTTAACATTATAGCAATTTAAGTCTCAATATTCCAATTTTTCGCCTTTTGATCATGTGATTTAATAAATTACTGCAACTGAGGATGAAATTGTAGGACTTAAATTGTTAATCAAAAATCTGATAATTTGGAAAATTGTTGCAATACTCAGTCATCAAATGACTGGAATTTTAGTAAAATATTAAATTACATGACAAAAAAGCAAAATGTTTGTACATTAGGACTAAAATTGCTATGTAGTTAAATTAGGGCTAAAAATGTAGTTTTGGCTTTTGCAAACATACATACTACCATTGAAAAAATGTCATATATTTAAAAATAACGTAAATAAAAGTACGACATTTGATTATATAAGTATGCATTTATGGTCGACATGCTTAACTGTTAGGCTGCATCACACAATAATTTGTGTTGTTTAAAATATTTATAAGAAAAGCAAATTAAAACATTGTAAAGTTTATTACTAATATTGTTATTTATATTATTATTATTATTGTTATACATATATTTATTTATTTATTCTTTTTTTTTTGTAGAATCAACTTGGATAGACGTGATTTGCCAAGGCGTCCAGATATTCTTCCAGTGCTTCAAGTCGCGAGTCTTGGGCATGCTTTGCTTGCATTCGTCAATGGAGAATACGTAGGTTTTGGGCATGGCAGCAACGTCGAAAAGAGCCATGTTTTCAAAAATACTGTCAATTTGAAGATTGGTGATAACGAGATATCGATTCTGGCAATGACAGTTGGTTTGCCGGTAATTTAAAGTTATGGGAGATGCTACGGTCCCGTTATGGAACCATTCCTTCGGGGTTTGTAACCGTTAGATCAACTATCCACGACGGTTACATAATGATCTAACGGTTACAAATCCTGATTGAATGGTTCCGTAACGAGACTGTAGCATTTCCCTAAAGTTATATATAGTATTCAATTAATCATGATAATTTAAGTGAAATAATACAGGGAAATGTTGTGGTCCCGTTACGAAACCATTCCGTTGGGATTTGTAATCGTTAGATTATCATGTAACTATCGGGGATAGTTGATCTAACTGTTACAAACCTAAAAAATGTTTCCGTAACGGGACCGTAGCATCTCCCAATAATATATATATATATTTTTTTATCTATTTGTGATTTACCATTTTGTAGAATAGTGGTGCATATATGGAGAAAAGGTTTGCCGGGCCTAAAGTTATCACGCTTGAAGGACTCATGGCTGGAACTCTTGATATCACTCGTAACTATTGGGGACAAGAGGTAANNNAAAAAAAAAAAAAAAAAACTAAAAAATTGTGATAATTAAACACAGATGTGACACTTGAAAATTAATGAAGTTTTTTTTAACAGTTTTAGTAACTGTTAATAATTATATGTATATATGCAACTTTTTTCATTTTTTTTTAAAGTAATTGATTAAAAAAAATAACGCAGGTTGGTGTAGAAGGTGAGAAGATGCAACTGTTCACCGAAAAGGGTTCGAAGAAAGTCAAATGGGCTAGCGCAAATGCAACTCCTTCACCTATTACTTGGTACAAGGTAATAAAATTTACTATATATATATACCAAATAACCAATTTACAAATGAATAGTTCAAATAATTAAGAACATAGCAAACAATTAAATTAGTTAGTTACCTTCAAATTTCCTTTGTTTGTTTTTCAGACATATTTTGATGCACCAGAGGGCGATAACCCAGTGGCAATTAAAATGAACAGCATGGCAAAGGGTATGGTTTGGGTCAACGGTCAAAGCATTGGTCGATATTGGGTTTCTTACATCTCACCAATTGGGAGCCCAACTCAAGAAGAGTAAGCAAAGCATAAATCCCAATAATTCGACCCTTTCGGTAACTTGAAGTGCAGTCATCGAGTTTTTCACCATTAGATCAACACACGCTTCTGTATGCATATGTTGATCTAACAGTGAATAAAAACCCGATGATTACAATACATTTACCGATAGGTTGAAATTTTTCGCATATAAGCATATATGGAAGAAAGTAATATCATATTTACTTCCAAATTCATTATCATTTTTTAGGTATCACATCCCAAGAGAATACTTGAAGCCCAAGGATAATCTATTAGTGGTGTTTGAGGAAACCGGCGGGAACCCGGAGAAGATGGAAATCGTGACCGTTAATCGTGACACGATCTGTAGCGTTATCACCGAGTATCACCACCCGCACGTGAAAACATGGGAGAGAAAAAACAACGAGTTTCGAAACATAACTGACCCGATAAAGGCCGCTTACCTCACGTGCCCCGACCATAAGGTCATCGACAAAGTCGAGTTTGCAAGCTTTGGGAACTCGGACAATGCTTGCGGATCCTTCAAGCCCGGCCCGTGTGATTCCACCGCGGTTCATGACCTTGTTGAGAAGGTACTATACAAAACCTACATTTTTTTGGCAAAGAATGTTGTGCAGCAAAATTAATTACACACAATTTTTGGTGATTTTATTATTACAGCTTTGCTTGGGTAAAACAACATGCACAATCCCATTTGAAAGGGAGCAGCTGCTTAATGGGGCCAAGGAATTGTGCCCAGATGTGGAAAAGACACTGGCTATTCAAGTGAAATGCGCGGGTGCAAATAAGAGCGATGATTGATTTGTTAATTTGTACTATAATTTTTAAAATGTTTTTGGAATTATATTTTAGACTATTTATTTATTTAGTATTGACCATTTTGTTTGTTTTTTGTTGCTTATATTGTCCACATTTATGTAGCGCAGCATAGTTGATAATACAGTGACAATAAAAGAATAGACATTAAATTTATCAAAAAATTAGACGAAAAGAGAAAAATGATTAACTTAAGAATTAAAATATTATTACAGTAGAAGAAAAGGAGAAAGAAAATAATAATAATAGAATTAAATAACTCAATGTTCGCTTCTGCATATATGCAAGCCAGATTATAATTCGGCATTTTTAAATTACAACTGTAAAAAAAAAATAAGTATTTTACTTATTAACAAACAAATAATATTGGAACAGATTTCAATATATAAAGTTACTTCAAATTCAATTTCCCAGATTCTAATACTAAACAGAGCCCAAGCTAATTATTTGAACAAAATCTTCCTCTCTTATTTCCATAAATTGCAAAAATCCAGCAACCAAAGAATAGCTTAAAATTACCAAACACGGAAAAAAAACATCATTCGCTGATTAACTTATGAAAATTCTAATGATTTACAAGCTACTTATATACTAAAAATTATCCTTTCCACGCTATTCCTCAAATCGCAGCATTTTCATCAACCTGAAGAAAAAATTATGCAACAGTTTAGGACCTTAGGCGGAGCAAACAATAGATAATTACTCAGAAATGGCAATTAAACAAACGAAATCAACGAGGCAAAAGGATAAGAAACAAATCACGATTAAATGCTGCATTTGAGCTTCAAAATGACGATTTACCTCCACTGTAGCAGCAAAATCGAACGATTCATGACAAATCGAAAGATCCTTGACCTTCACTAATAGCATATAGTAGTTTCTTGTGCATAATTTCCTAAAACAAAAGAACAAAGTATTAGTAAAACTCGTTATCCTGCAAAATACTGACTAAACCCACCTAAGCCCTTAAGGAATTCATCTGGAGGATGAAATTTATAAAATAGGAACGAATGAAAACGGCCTAAATTATCTCAGAAAGATAACTGTGTACCCTTTTTATTTTATATTTTTTTTTTTTTTATAAACAGGCTAAAAAACCCCAAATGTACTACTAGCGTTTATCATCTCCAGAAAAAAAATAAGACAGCTCAACATGGAGAGAATAAAAGGAAAAGTACGTGACTCCATTGTCATGTAACTCGTACCTTAGATGAGTATGGTGGAAGCTTTAGGTAATTCGCACAAGTCATGACACTCGGCAAGTCATCATCCACAGAGTCTGGCAAATTATGTACCTTTCTTACAACAGTCAGCTTAGGATTCAGCACGGCCAGGCCACCTGGCGGAAGCCGAGGAGCACCGGTGACAAACTGGCAGAAGGCTCTCTGCTGCTCGGGAGTGAACTCACCCATGATTTCAAGAAGCTGAGAAAACACAATAATAAGATGGGATATGAATATGAAGGACAGAGGAAGTAAATTTTGTTTTTAAGTTACTAGAGAAACTCAGCTGAAAATTCATATTAGATTCTAATGACACGTCTGTTTAATATTACATACATTGATGATGGCAGGACTGTTTGAAGTGTATCCATGATCGAACTTAATGTGGTCCACGAGAGACTCAGCCTGCAAGAAAGGATAAAATTTGTAAACGGGAGAAAATGAAGGAATCACGTTTGGTTTTGCACTATTATTACCTTCCACAATTCTCTGCAGCCGCACAGCAACTGGTCCAGCTCATTCGGAGAAAATATCGTCAGAGTTGAGATGTCAAACACCTAACAACCAGAAAACAACAGAACACGTCAGGCAAACATGCCCATATCCCAGAAAAAAATGAACAAAAATTTCCACTATTAGACAGCCAATTGAAAAGTAGTCTCCACACGGACCACATTATGACATAGCACTCTTCATATACATAAGCAACACGGCGGATTATAACTCAATCAGAATAGAATTTACAGGTTGAATAACAATCAATCTATGAACTTCCAGGTACATATCCAAGAAAGAAGAAAGGGTGAGTTAAGATAAAATAGAAACCTGATTAAAACCAGATCTAAATGCTTCCATTTGTCGCATGATCCCAGTCCCTACCGTAGCATCAACCACACGGGAAACATAGTTTCCCAGAGAACTTATATCCACCTATAAATTTCATTAGAATTATTTCACTAGAATACAAATGGGGGAAAATATAGAAACGATTAAGAAAGCTATGTGGATATTGGGGTAGGGTGTCGTGAGATGGTTGCATTGACCGACATAGATGAGCAAACAACTTACATTTTCATCGCCTGATATCAAAATATAATCTGCATAGCCCGGAAGGGAGAAATCTAAACAAAGATCATCAACAGAAGCTCCACGAAAATAGAGCTCTTCTGGATTATAGCTTCTCACAGATTCCAAGTATTCTTTCCTGCATGCGAGGGCTTGCAATTCTTGCAATGTAGTCCCAAGTTCCGCATCGAAAGAAGTGACGTCGTGCAAACCCAACTCCTGTTGAAATAAAGAAATCATAAAAACAATGAATAAATCTCCCCACAGATGTTGGTTTAAAGAAAAATAGAACATTTGATACCCATATCTCAATTTTGACCAAGAAACAATCAAAATAAACTTACTTGACCAAGAACAAGCCTATAAAAGGCTGCTGACAGTGGCAAATCTAAAAGCCTCCCGTCTTGAAGAGCTTTAGCCATTATCCGCCCGAGCAAACGGAAATACTCGATAACTTTGGAAAATTGGCTACCATCCGAAGTATCAGCAGTGGCTGGCCAAGGGCGAGGAAACAACCTAAGAGGCATATGTCCAGAATATGAACTTGACCTCCACATTCCTAATCCAGCTTCCTGAAATTCGTGACTCAAAAGAGTGTAAAACTCCATGGTAGGCCCCAATCCCAAGCCAACCTCACCATAATACTCAACTTCAAGAGCAGCTTTCTGACTAGAGTACATCTCCATGACTTTTGCAGCTGAATCTAAAATTCGGTTCCTGTGGACACGAACTTTCTGGCGGGTTAATATGCTACCCCTACCATTTCGCCCACTCATTGAACCATGGCCATTAACACCTTGCTGCTGTTGGAGCCGATGCAACGCACGAGAAAATCCAAAAGCAGTTGAATAGAAATACATGCAACGGGTTTCGAAAGGGAACAAAAATGGGCAAGCTTTTGTCAGATGGTAGCACCAAGAAGGAAGGGGACATGTGCTATCGGCAAGAGTGTCCTGAATTTTTTGAGTCAATTTTGAAGTAACCTTGCCATTTACAAAAATTTTCGGAGAAACCTTGGCTCCACTCATATTCAGTTCATCTAAATTAGAAATTTTCCCCTCCGCAAAACTGTCGATTGCTATTTGGACCCGCAAAAGTGGTGCGTACTGATTCAACCCCTCCAGTACACGTAATAGTGCTAGAATATTATAAATGGGGTCTTCTCTTTCCAAATCACAAGGGAATTCCCCTCGGATGAACCTATCCAGAAGAGAGATACTACTCAAGGATAATTCAGTGTAGTCACCAGAAGCACTAGCTTTGGAAGACTCAGATTCAGTTGTTGATGCAAGAGTCCCAAGTGAAAAGCTTGTAGCATGATTATCAGCGCTTTGGTAAAGTATAGTGTGAATGGCATCCCAGACCTGACGACCATCACTGGATTCACCCTCGCCCAATACTGCCTGATAAACAGTCATTCGACTATTCAGCTGCCTCCCCTCTGCAGTAAATATTAGTCCACGAACACCTCGTCCTATAGTACCTGCAGAGCTAGAACTATTTGGTCGTTCATTTTGTCTATCAGGACTGTCATCTGAAGAGTCACCTAGTTCAATATCATGCACTATGTCTGTCATGATAATAGGAAGAGTAGCGCTTCTCAGTGCCTGTCAATAGTGATGATATAAGTAGGTCATTCAGTACAATAAGCATATGAAGGATGGCAGCGACATTGGGAATTCCCATGGGAGATTGTACATTGGAAGGACCTACTTTCTACACTTTAGCAATGGATGATGTTAATATGTTTGGCTTATTGAGTATCCACAGTAATATCTGTTTTTTGGTTTTAGTACACTTGATATTTATGACGATACGAACGAGATCTATTTATTAGGTTTATGGTTAATCTTGCAATTCTAAGAATGGAACCAGAAAAAGAGAAAATATGTGTATGAAACAGAAACCATCAACATACATCAACATAAGTGGCGTCAGGGTAGTTATCATCGTCAGAGATATCATCATCAGATATATCATCATCAGAGATATCATCATCAGAGATATCATCATCTCCACCTTCCATTTGCTCATCAGTTGCCACAGGCAAATTGTCCGACTCCTCTACCTGCAACTAGCACAACAGATTGAAAGAAAACTCAATACACAAATTCAAGGATGATGGATGTAAAATTCTGAGCACCAGATGATCCACAATAGAAAAAGAATGAATAATAATCAAACAGCTTTCTTTGTTTGTAAAGATCAGATACAGTCAAATGAGTGTCACAGACAGAGGATAATCTCAAAAGACCAGTGTCAGAATCTATAATCGAGGCTCGATTTTAAGAATTCAAGTCAAACTAGTCACTCACCTTGGAAGAGGTGTCCTCAATCAGTGGTATCATGTGCTTATCTTCATCAAGGGCCGAACTTCTACGAGCAGCACTCCTAGTCTGAGGTCCTTCCACACCTTCTTGGTCTTGTGTGACAACTGCTTTCCCCTTTGCCTTTGATGCGCTAGAATCTTTTTCCTCTGACAAACCTCTTCCAATTGTTACTCCAGTATAAATAGAAATAAAAAATGCATTGAATGATAATGAGCACTAGAAACAGGACTGGAAGAAATCAAAAGTAGAAAGCAGGTACCTGCAGAAGTTGTTTCAGACCCTGACTTCCCAGCACATGCAGAAGGCTGATTAGACTCATCTTGCTGAACCCTCGGCAGAAGGAAGTCTTCAACGGCAGCCAGACTTGTCAATGGATCACTAATACTCACAACATTCGTAGAGTAATCGCCAAGTGTTTTTTCTCCGGGTGCTCGGGAAAGACGCAGTTTGATTGAACGAGATAAACTACTGGAACCAGATGAGACACTTGCATTCCTATCTAATGAACGATACGTAGACCGGCTGCATTCAAGAGGGAAACACTCTAATGAGGACAAAGCATTTTGTAGCTTTTGAACCAAAACGCTCATAGGACTCCCTTCAACATTTGAAGGAAGGAAGAGGGAGACAAAAGACTTGTATCTTCTTATTGCTAGTGGCTGAAGCCTAAGCAGACCAACTTTGGAAATCTTTTTACTGGAGAAATATCCGCAAGTAAAGTAGTTAAGTAAGCAGGAAACTACCCCACTACTCATAAACTCAAAAGTTGATGCACCTTCTTCTCTGCTAAGCTCCTGTAGAAGCTGAACAATCATTTCAACCAATTCTTCCTCTATCCTAGAGGATTTTTTACTGAGCCGAGCACCAATGGCTTTCGATTTTCCCTTGGATCTCTTTTTCTGCTCATCGATCCCCATGTTCATTCTTGTGCAAAGATTTTTCAAGCGGAGGAGACCATCTGTAACCCCAGATCCACTGGCTGCTGCATCTGAAGAAAAATATTTTTCTTTCAACAGTCTTGCATGTGAACTCACTGTCACTAGAAGACTTGAATTCGCAGTTGGATCTGAGGTGTTATCAACTGAACTGGAGCTAACATCTTTTCTTGTATTTCGTCTAGAACGAGAAGAACAATTACTAGATTTCTTGTGACGGGACTGTTGAGAAGTACTGCTATCTCCTCCAGACAATATCAATGCATCCACAGCATGCACAACACCTTCCCTAACAAACGTCCTTGAGAAAGTACCAGGATGCTTTTCCATCAAAATTTCTGCTATTTGAAGAGCAAGCACCAAAGCTTGGTGATCCTTCCAAGCTAAAACCACAGCTAAGAAACTGCAAGAAGAAAAGGGCTTATGAAGCTGGTCAAAAAAAAAAAAAAAAACTTGGAATTCTAAGAGTTGAAAAGCGATATACCTTGATATGTTTGTGACCTTTATTAAAGATTGTATAATTTCGGAAGTGCTGAAGTACAAAATCTTTCTAATAACTGAAAGACACTTGTGGCGGACAGAAACATTCACACTAGAATTGCAAATCTGCATGATAGAAACAACGTAAAATTATAATTAAGCTAAGTTTTCACAATATAAAATAAGAAAGACACAGGAGAATCTCGAAACCGACCTGGACAAGAACAGGAAGGAGATCTATCCCAAACTGCAGCAGAAGTTCAGGCTGTTCGTTCAATAGTTTCTCACGGGTTGAAACCTCAGGTATACCCCCATTAGAATCGTCCTCAAGGATAGAGTTTCCAGCATGACCCTTCACAGCAGGAAGCAGTTCGTCTGCCAGGTTCACAATCTCACAAACCTGAAGTTACAAACAGTTGTATGTTAAAATCATTGGTCAGACAATTTACATGACTACACATTACTCACTAAAAATAGGCAGGTTTGAACAGCATCAATAAAACTTTATAACCAGATCCTGCGCGGCGGTTAATGTTAATACCCGTTACCATCTTAGAACTTACAATTCCACCCCTGGTCACTAAGATAGAGATCGCCCATAGTAAACTAGTCATATCACGCTACTCCTTCCACCTCCGGATCTTAATTTCACAAAGAGCAAGTAGTTCATTCGGAGGAACAACTGTGAACATTTTATAAACAACCGAACCTTTGCAAGCAAAATAACCACATTACAAAACCCCAACAATTTACATGACCACCAAAGGAAGTAAAATCCTGGCTCAAGAAAGGCAAGACCTGGATGAGACAGCTAAGAAGCAAGCTGCGTAAAGAAAATTGCTCATACCTGCTCGGGTGTTCGGCCAAAAGCAGGTGAAACAGATATGCTTGTCACCTGGCCTGTCCCCAATAACAGGTCTTTCAAAATACCACCGATTCCCAGGAGGTGCAGAGACTTTGCTCCTAGAGCAGAGCCACTTGCAAGAGTGGAAAGAAGCTTGATCAAGTCCTGCATGCAGCATGAACATAAGCTTACAAATTACCTAAATAATATGCTTAACCGAATCGTCGTCCTTACCGTGAATGTATGAGTTCCAAGGGAAGCCTGACCACCTAAAAAGCTGCTGGAAGAAATCAGGACAGCCGCTTGTGTAACAACACCATGGCTACATAGGTCATCAAGTCTTTCTGGTGAAAGAGCAAATGCTTCGGCAACACGTGTGAGGCAGAAAGATGCATCTTCTACAACCTGTTAATAAACCGAAGCACATGCATATAATAAGAGAAGGCAGGGAAAATGCACGATAGGGAAAACACGCCACATACTAGTACATGTGCTTACATCTGACAGAAAAAAATTTAGTCTCACCTTTTTATCATGATATTGGAGGAGATTAGTCAACGTCGGAACAGCTTCCATCACAAAATCAGCAGCATCTGAAGGTAGGCCATCACAAATGTTGGCAGCAGTCGACAAGGCAACTCTCTAAAAGTGAGTCAAAGAGAAATTAGATGTCTAATCCAAATAAATAACCAATCAGTAAATAAACTTCCAACTTACAAGCAAGATAGCTAGTACAAAGTCCCCACTACCTGTATCCCTGTGGGGAAAAAATCTAGATAAGAGAGCACGCCCACAAGTGCACCGGCGCGCAAGCAAGTTTCCGGCTGTTCCTCGGATATCCTTTTCAAAGCTTGCAAAGACTGTTCAGACAAAACAGAAATACCAACTCATCAAATCATAAACTATCAATAACACCAATAAGCAAGTCAACAACAAAGGCAGAGTGGTTCAAATAATTGCCAGCTCCCGATAAAAAATTTCAAGCACCATAAGTTTTTATACTTCAATGACGATTAAGTTAACCTGCTCAGCCAAGTCCATGTACTCGATACTCAGCAGCCTAGCTACAAAGCATGGCACTGCCCCATAGCGCACCACCTCACCACAAGACGAGGGCACTACATCAACCAAGTGGGTCAAAGCCCGAGCCGCCAAAAGCATGATATTCGGGTTGCTCTCATAATTAACCAACCCCACAAGCACCGGCACGAAAGAATCATACGAGAAGCTCCTCAGCGAGGCCTCAGTCGCCATCGACAGCACCTCTGTTAGCTCCATTAATGCCTCCACTTGCTGGCTCTCCTCCCCTTCGGCCCTCAAGTCCGACAAAATCCTATTCAATCTCTCACTTTGTTGAGAAGCTGTAGAAGATGACGCGGCAATAATATCACTCATCTCAGCACTGATCTTCCTCAACAAGCCCTCCAGCACAGTTGGGTCCGAAGCGCCATCATTACCATTGTCCGCAACACCCCTAGAGCCGGTGTTCGAAACCAAACTCCTCCCTGAGTTTCCCTGCCTGATTTCAGGCTCCTTCTCCTTACCCTTGTCCAAATTAACATTGCCTTTACTATCACTACGTTTCTTATTGCTACTATGATTGGAATTCTTACTATTACTCGGGTTTTTCCCGCGGCGGCCACGAGCTGCAGAAGCAGAGGCGGTGGATCGTTCCGAGGTAGAGTCCATGGGAGTAGACGACGAGGCGGCGGCGGCGGCGGCGGATGATGAGGATGCGTTACGGAGTCGTTTGGCGGCGCGTGTGGTTGGAGCAGAAGAGGTTGGCACTGTAGATGCCTCTGCCCTTTTACGGCTCCGAATTTCCATACAAATTACGGCAGCCGGAAGTCAAAGTCGCCGATTAATCGGCGATCAGACGCTCCGGAGATTGTCAAGCTCGTTGCATGTCGATTTCGCAGCGATCGGGGAGGCTCTAAGTACGTGATCAACTGCTCGAACTCTACAGTACTTGAGGCGTGCAACCGTACGGCTAACCGGGGGAGTCGCAAGGTTGACAGACGACTATATGAGAATTGAGAAAGAGGCTGACCGTATAAATAAACAGTTGTTTATTAGGAGAAAAAATTAAGGTAAAACAGCCCTAACTCTAGATGATGTTTTACTTCCACTCTGTGCTGTTTAATATTTATAGTACTAGGGCTTGCCGCCTCAAAGGATGCGATGGGCTTGCCCAATTATTGTCTGTTTAGGCCCAATTATACCACTTTGAAAAAATTATTCTGTGCACATCTTATGCCCTTAGTTATCATTTGATTTTTTCAATGTCAATTTATACCCATGTCAATTTATTACACGGGTGCTTGTTAAAAAATTATTCTTAAATTTTAAAATTAATGAGAAAATTATATTAAATTCAGTTTACATAACTTATATCATATAACTACTTGAAATATAAATATATTAGTTGATAAATAATTTTATTTTTCTAATTAATATTAAAAATAATTTTATTATTGTTATAAAGAAAAATATAAATTATTTTTTTTATACATACAATATGGATGTTAAATCGAAGCTCATAAAAAAAAAGATTAATTTGATATATTACATATGTAAAACTGATAAAAAATACAAAAGTTATTAACTTTTAATATATATATATATATACAATTCAATAGTTATAATAAGGAATGATATTAAAATGCAATTAATACATGTAACATGAGCATAAATAATCAACATATTTATGGTAATTCGAAACTAATTATTTTTGGTTTGTAATTAAATTAATTAAAATTTACTCAAGCCTAATAACGAAGCATGTAATTTTGCCACATAGGATTCCGAAGCACCAGAAGCAGTCACGTAGGCTCAACGCGTTCTAAATTAATATAAAGGGGGAGGGGGATAGGGGGATAGTAGTAAATATTAATCCTTTAAGTATAAAACTATTGCGGTACCCGTGCGATGCACGGGGTAGTTTTATTAAGGTAAGCATTTAAATTTGGATGATTAGAATAACGTATAACACATATTGGAATAAAACAAAATGTAACTTATATATTATTAAACACATAATTGTACACAACATTATTTGTTTGGTCTTTTGGTACATAGTCGATCGCATTGCATAGGCAAATATAACAGAGATTGTAAAACGTCTTTCTTGATAATCTATAACCTTATTATTTTAAAATTGTAAGTTACTTAATTTAAAGAAAGAAAAAATTGTGTAAGCGTACGCAATCAATTTCAAAATTTTATTCCATTGGATTAAACAAACCCAAACTTTAGGATGTTCCAGTCTGATTTTGCTTTAAATTTCAAATTTATGTTATTTGACTCTCCTTTATGTTTAAAAATAATCTGAACTAAAGAAAGTAGTAGCCAAATGATAAGGATTTTTTAAATTTTATTTTTCAATTTGAAATTGTGTCCTATTTCTATATAATCTCTTTTTTTTTTTAATAAACATGATTTGTTGCAATTAGGTAAAGATACATGTTATAGAATTTTGCCTAATTCAAAATTCTCGATTTTACGGTAAACAAATTTTTTTAATAAAAAATGAGAGAAATTTGACAAAATTGTCATTTCGAATTATACCTCAGTTAACCCGAATTCTATGCAATTCGATTTTATAAACAATTGATGTGTTGCAATTAAGAAAAAATATATATGATAGCATTTTGCCTAATTTGAAATTATTGATTTTATGGTAATCAGTTTTTTTTTTTTTAACAAAAAATGAGAAAGAATTTTGACATTTGCAAAATTGTATCAGTCAAAATTTACCTAAATTAAATCCACAAAACCCATGAATTTAGTATGCATATATAACATATCGATTTTTTGAGAATAATTTAAAAATCAAAGTAAAAATCTGTCAAAAATATAATATAATAAATGTTGGTTGACTCTTTTGTTATTATTTTTGGTAAATAAATTTTCGCTATATATCTATATAAGATAATAATCACATTTATTTAACCCAACAATATATTGAGCCCTCCAAAATACTTCATAATCAGTTCAAAGTAAATAAATACGTTTGATATGTGAAACGAATTATGTGAACACTTGAATTAAATAAATACGTTTGATATGCAATCAGTTAATTTTAAATCAATTCAAATCAGTTCAAATTTTTCAAAATTTATCCGAACAAAACAAAATCGTTTTTTATGGTAAAATGCTTTTAACAAATAAACAATTAACAAACTAATTTTGATATGCAATCAGTTCCGTGATTAAAGGGTTATTAATTAAAGTAACAAAAAAATTATTGCCATTAATAGTAACTAATTAATGTGTCCGAATTTGACCAGAAATTTGACTTGCTATTCTTGAAAAATAGTAAATCTGTTTATGACTTGCTATTTAATAAAAAATATTGGTAATTTTAGTTAAGAAATAGAAAAAATAATCCACAAATTTAAGGAAAGATCATTTTTGAAAAGGTTGATCAATCATAGGGAAAGATCA